TTGGGGAACATTTTAACCTGTTTGCCTCGTAGTCCAGTTAGAAGTAGTTCCATTCCGGAAAAAAAATCATTTTCACCGGGCAATCACTATTATCAGCAACAGCAGTCCTGTATAAGAGAGCATCGCCGGGTGAGACTACCTCATTCAAGCGGTGGTATACTGAAGAAGATCCGACTCGATTCGACGACGAAGACACCACATCGAGAGTACGAACGATTGTGAATATCGACTTGGATCGTCGCCTCTGAGAAAGACGAAGACCCAAAAAGTTAACGGAATAAAATTGCTTACCAACCTCGTGTTAGCTTATCAATGAAAGAATTCGCGTCGACTAGTTATATCGAGGTTGAAAGAAAGTCAGTTTTGAAATAATGTTACACTCTCTGTACACCTAAGAGTAGTTGTCGGATAACCATCCATTCCTACTCATTTTCATCTCATTCTCTATTTTTCACAAACTTAATTCCTTCACACAAGTTCTCGACAATAATAGTCCTTTCTCCAACCTTTTTAACATCAAGTGAACTTCTGCATCGCTCGTACTCTTGGCATAGGTGATGACATGATCGACAAACGAAAGGTCTCCATCGAAATCTATACGATTTTTTATAACGAACAAAGTGTGCCTATTGCACGAAGACTTTGCAGAAATTTCTTTGAATGATGTGATTGATTATATAGGTCTTCTACTTTAACAGTATAAGGTAGCATTGGAATAGTTGTGCTTCTAATGTGAAGGCACGATAGCATAGGTTAGATATCCGATTTCGGACTGGTCCAACCATCGATGGAAGAGCGGTAATAGGACGACATTACTTTCGACAGTATAGAGCACTTTTTTGTGCTCTACAAGGTCAGGATGGGGTATAGCTTAGCACTATAGACATATTTCTATGACCTTTCTTTGAATCTAGTACATATAGATTGTGTGTGAGACTCCTTACTGCCAAGAAATTCATTCATTTTTAGCGATTCAATGCAGATTACCAAAACATCTTTGATTTTTGGCTTCCACTTTGATCGATGTCGGCCATTGTATTACCTTACTTTGGAATTGTGTTGTTTTTTATGACATTGATTGGAACTCGAATTACAGAGGGAGGAATCCGCGTAGCTTTCTTCAAGCTTTCTTCAAACGGAAACGAAAAATGCCATAGAACTTGCGGAGTAGAAAAAGATGGGCTAAAACTTATGCTTTTTGCTTCACATAGTGGCAAAACCTGGCAAGAAACAAGCTTTTTAAGAGGGTTAGTAGCAAAGCATTCCATTCGTGATGGCCCAGTTCTCCTGACTTCTGCCTAAGCTGCCTTCTGTTAGTTTTTTCATAGACCGCTGCAAGTTTTCCTGCCAAGATCTTCTACAGTTGACATTTAGCGCTAGCTACATCGGATATGTTCGGAGCGAGCTCCAATTTTCTTTCCTTCTAAGGCAACTCTTTCTTTGTGTTAGAGGTGTCCAAACGTCTTAGATGAAAAACTACCTAAAACGTACTCAGTGAACTCCTATGGCAAGCTGCACGTCATATTTTATAAAATCTTCATTGGAAATCACATGGAGTCTTTTCCTTCCTTAATGATGACAGATGCTTTATTCCAAATTACGAATTTCATTCCGTTTCTATAGAGGAGGTGGTGGCGAGTGAGTATTAAGCGTGTATGGACGTTTCCAATCTTGCTTTGACTTCACACTCCAAACTGCTCGCTTCTGTATTCTTAAGCTGTCTATTCTATCCTAGCCTTGTAATCTACAATAGTAAACTTACCGAAAGTTGGGTACGGGTCCATTGTATCAGCTGATAAGACTATTATTCTTCCCGCATATGAATCGACATGACAAGCACGAAATGATCCTTTGATAAAACGGGCCGCTTATCATTCAGTAAGATCGTGTTCTTTTCTTAGGTACTAATGTAACAGTTATTTATTTGATCTTTGCTAATACTTTTGCTTTTGCCTCATTGAAGTGCTTACGTTAAATTCAACCCAACCTGGTTCAAAGCGACCGTACAACTGGAAGTCTGAGAAGAAAGTTCTCGTGTTCCAAATGTGAAGCAAAAAGCAATTCTTCGCATTTTTGTTGAGCAAACGCGAGGTGTTATTATTCTTTATTCACGAATAGGCTGACGTTTCGGCGGATTTCGCCTTCCTCAGAGCCTGGAAAGGCCAAGTTGATAGCAATCTACTCGGCCAGACGCCTCCATAACCAAACAAAGAAATTCTAAACCAAGATTTCAATCACATTGAACACAGCTTTGCACACTCACCGCTTTCTATGAGGTTTCCACTATGTCACGTAGAGACCAACCGCACAGAAATCACATGGAAGCATAATGTGCTCCTCCGATCAGAATAGCAGTCTTATATACTGCCCTATATCATGCGTGATAATGAGGCATTCTTCCCTGCGGTTCATTTTCGGATTTCTGGAATTAATCCAGAATGCCTCACTTGTGTTCTTGATTCGTATGCGAGGATCGTGACACATACTTCAAAGTCCTCCCCGTTATGTCTCTGGGTCCTATGCGTTCCTAGCGGGGTATTTGGTCTATGTTTGCCGGCTAGGTGTTCTTTTATGTGGACACAGAGGGGTCTGCCCGTTTCGCCAATGTATTCGTCACCACACGTCTTACAGGAGATCAGATAAACTATACCCGAGCTCATGCAATCACCGTCTCTACCACTGGGGCAAATTATGCAATTTTGAGTTGCACACAGACGGTCATATAGGCGGTTACGAACTAACTGGCGCTTAAGATTAGCTGTGCCTGATTAGCTGATTAGCAGCTGTACCTCTACGCCCCTTGATATCCAACACGTGCATCATCAGTGCCTGCGAAAAGAAGAGAAATTTGCCTCCTTCTCACTTAGGAAGTTTCTACCAAAGCGGTATCATCCCATATCGTTTGAATCAAACACAGGCTGTACACATAGTTCTATCCCATGAACAGCCTCATGCAAGCCATAGCAGAACTTTTCTCGAACTAATTGAGACCGTACTCTATGAACATTTGTTTCTATACGATAATTTGGTGAATAGGAGAATGTATACTCAATGATTTTTTCTATTAAATTATGCTCCGTTATTGATTACACATTTTGTTATCGTTTTTCTAGCTCAATCGTTCACCAACTACTTCCTGCTGTGCTTCGTGTACTGCACAGCATTGTCGTGCAAATCTGGGGAACAAGGCCTACTGGCGGTGATGAGGAGGCGAGGCTTCCACTACTTTCTCTTGGCGCTCATCGACGTCGAGGCCAACTACATGATTGTGTCTGCATATCAGTTCACGAATCTCACGAGTATACAGGTTTGATTCGCTTTGTCTAAGTCGTTGGGCACTTGCCATTCTTGTAGCGATCGTCATAGATGTATATATTCATTTACTTATTTATTTATTTTTGTGTTCATATGGCTGTTCTTCACACGTATTGTACAGATCCCATCGCTTCTTCTATTCTATTCGTTTCTTCGTACCCATCACCCATGGAGGTCTTCGGTGAATCCACCCGTTATCGATTTTATCCATCCGAAAGATGATTTGACGATAACTATGCTAGTGCGTTTCTAAGTTATGTGGACCGGAGTGATCCTCCCAGGGAAGTATTTGTATCAATTCTCCGACACCGAATGAATGCTAGGCCTCGTCGGCCTATGGCGAAGTTTGTATGCAATTCTTGTATATGGCATGGGTCAACTTTTTCTAAAGAGGTATCGTTTTTATCTTGCTCTATTCTTTGGACCTTGATCGTGCCGCTGGTGCTTCAGTACATAGATGATTTGGAATTGTTAGTTCTAGTTATGTCACGCAAGTCGGGCTTCAACGCCTTTTGGCTGCACTTCCACAATCGTAGTGACATGGTTTAAGTTCCTTCTTGTATCACTACCTCTTTCGACTCTTCGTGGAAGAACATGCCTTGGGAATTCCGCATTATAGTAAGCATCCGTCGCCCATCATTTGGAGTAGGTGTCAGCTGAGCAGTTAGCTCATATTGTCGTACTCGAACCTTAAACCGCGTTTTTACTGTCCTCTATTGGTTCTCCACCCAATTATGTCGTCTATCGTCTCCTCAGTCATCAATGTGTGTGTTTGCCTAAAGTTAATGATGGTTTGAATTTGCTAATGTACATTTGAATCCATATTATTTTCACTACTCATTGTTGGCCATTTTACATCAAAGGTGCATGTTAGTTTGAAACTGGAAAAGGATTTTGAATGCTAATCGATAAAGGCTCATATTCCAACGCGCGGTAATAATAATCACAACGGTGGGCTACACATTCGGATGTGGGCCCTATGGCACCTTTCTAAACACAAACGGTATAAGTGCACTGAAAGGTATAACTTCCAAGTTTTCAGTGTTAAAGTAACCATCCTGTTAAACTGCTTCGGAACCGTCATTCGGAAACTGTGACCTCAGTTATACTGTTCGTAATTTGTGGTATCCTGAAAGAGACAATTTTTTTGCATGAATCGCGTTTCACATCTACTGTGTGAATCCCAGCGCTTCTTGCATTTTGTTCGTTTCCTTGCATCTATCATCCACGAAGGCCTTTCAGGGGTTTACATATATGTTCGGATGCTTCTTGAGGATTTACCTTTCATCAAGGGTGTCGGTGAAAAATCGTTGAGTCGACTCTCCTTGGAGTCCTGAGATAGCCGGTCTTGAGCGTCCCCTTCTAGATTGCAGGCGGTGCTTTTTCCTCGGACAAGTCCAGTGCCAAGTTCCAGGCGCTGGGACAGTGAGAAGCTTGGTGAGCCCACAGCTTGAGCGAACCTGCAGCATGATTGTGATGACCGACATTGCTACCACCGCGCTACCCATCCCCTTATGGAGGCGAGCTGAACGGGATATTTCAGCTTATTGTTCACTAGCTACTATTCGTGCACCATTTCTATCATTAGCGTTCAGTCAACAACTTACATTTTCCAAGCTTTCGAATAGTGGAATAGTTGAGCGATTTGTAATAGTACCTACTGGCATGGTTGTTGCCACTTTCAGTTACTTGACTGCTCGACGATTCCAATGGTGCTGTTACTTTCATGGCTATTTCTCTCAGTTCGATACTTAATTTCACATATCATAGGTAGATTTTGAAGAAATCTTTTTTTTACCTTTTTCGTCTTATATTAGAGCAACTTCTTCTTATTTAGGTGTATGTATTTGTTTGATAGGCATCGCTTGTCTTATCTGGGCCGATATCCTAGACGGCAAAGGAACTATAGGAGGTATTTGTTAGCGAAACCTTTCGTTTGCAAAGGCAGTATTGCACACTTCTACAGCTGCGCCATAAGCTAATTTATCAAATTTTATAAAATTCGATGGCTTTTATTTTAATAGAATTTTATTCATTAGCTTGGGAAGGCTGTCTGCTACGTGCACTCCACAGCTCCATCTTCTACACTTCAATACCTCATTTTGAACCCTTGTAAAATATTTCGCTGGTTTTTAGTTAAGATATGCGACAATTCTCTTTATGTTACTTCAATGTTTCATGAAGAGAAACGCCATGCATCACATTAGTACGACATCCCCAGATAGTTTGCAGAATATTAACACACAGCTGGAGAATGTTGGTGGTTTACGACTTAAAGGACAACTATTAAAACCGGATTTTTAGCAAATACATAGCACTACCACTGATATATAGTTAGCTCCCTTAAATTTATCCTCTCTCCTGGGTTGGCAAATTGGTACCAGGCTCGTCTGCGTGGATAGCAGCACTGGCTCGATACATCGGTAGACCACCGTGAGTCATTGTAGAGGCCAGATACGCATTCAATAACCTCGAAACGATACTTGAAGTCGAATGCATGGCGCATCCCTCAGGGGTGGGCGCTTTATCCCTTATTATTTATTTACAAAATTCTTCACTTCAATCACGTTCATTAGATCTTATATGATTATATTCCATCAAAAATTCTTTTCGTCACGTGTTTTGTTATTCCTTACTGGTACACGTACACCATAACCGTCTTTACGACTTTTAAACGTTGTTCGCAGCGAGTTGCTTCCGTAGAGAGCATGCTGTGTCTAACGCGCCGTGCTGCAGGTAACAATCGTCTGGTGGGCGACATGCTCTGCTTGGGTGGCTCGTTGCTGTACTCGATCGCCAACGTTTCCGAGGAGTTCCTCGTCAAACAGCACAGTCGCGTCGAATACTTGGGCATGGTGGGCTTGTTCGGCTCGCTCATTTCCGGCGTTCAGCTGTCAGTCATTCTACTGCTTACTTGTTTGTTTACTAAATTTATCTGGGTCTTTACTTATTTCTTGCGTTAATCTACGCATTAGTTGAGTTCTTTGCTAATCTCTCCACACTAATTTTCACTAGGTTAGTTTTTTTTTCTCATTCTTGAAGTTTTTTGTGGTTAACATTTCCTGGTTCTTTTAGCTTAAAAAGTCTCTCCGTGGTTTATCAAAAATGATTCACTTTTAATCATTAGGATCTTAAAAATTGTTCGCGAGCAAGCAACCGACGTTTTTAGTGTAATGACTTAATTAGGAAAGAGTAGACCGACCTAATAGCACTCCTGCTTTGTACAGTTAATGTTGAGCATTGTTTTACATGGTATCGGGTGATCATGCCACCGAAGCAAATTCTGGTCAGCTACTGCAAACTAATCTATAGTCGGTCTCTAGGATAACATTCACAATTATTTCTATAATGCTGAGATATTTTCAAAGCTCCGGACCGCAGGTGTCTGCGGTAGGGAACGAACGCGCTATTGTCCTTTCCGGGGAGTAACGCGTTCACCACCACACCATGCGAGTCCTTCGTTTCACCTGTCTCTCAGCTAGTTCTATCGATCTTTTTGCCATCAGCAATCAGCAGTGGTGAAGTGCGCTGCTCCCCGGTAAGGACAACAGCGCGTGTTCGTTCCCCACTGCATACACCTGTGGTCCGGAGTTTTGCAAGTATCTCAGCACTTCATACGAGTTATATTTCACAACGTACCCTGCCATTAAGAAGAAAAAGGCAGTAAATAAAAGAGTTAAGATTGTGACTACTGTTATAGTTCTAGAGTCCTATGATATCTTGAATACAATAATAAGATAAATAGAGAAATGTTGATTTGAAGCACATTTTGGTTTTCTGTCTTTTCTTAGGAATAATAAAATGTTTACCTATTTTAAGAGCTGTTTCCCAAAAGTTTAGATAGTCTGTATCTAGAGCGATTCTGGAGCACAAGAACTTGGCGCAACTGGACTGGAATGCAATGACGATCAGCTGTTTAATTTTGTTCGCCATATCGATGTTCGCCTTCTACTCGCTTGTTACTGTTGTGCTTGAGAAGACATCGGCTTTAATGTTCAATCTGTCCATACTCACTGCCGATTTCTATTCACTTTTATTTGGACTCTTTCTGTTCATGGACACGGTACGTAAAGCAGTAGTAGGTTCTTTATCAATACTAAAACAATTTTCGCAATGTAAGTGAAAATGCAATTAAAGAGAAGCGCCCATGTAGTGCAGTGGTTAGAGATGCTCAATGAATGCACATTGTTCCAACTCGCCGATCATGGGCCCTGGTTTAACCAAGCAATCCATCTCTCTGGAGTCTGTAAATTAGTACTATTACCGCCTGGGCGCGATGAGACGAAAACACTCCCGTAATAAGTGACTCCCTAGCAACTAGGACAATTTGATATATCGCTAAGCATCCATGAGTTGTTATATAGGATATATATGAATTCGACAACGTTAAGGATACTCGACGAAGTCAAATACATGACACATCCACCAGAAATCGACCAACACCGGCTGCTTTATCCTTTATCCTCTTAACTAAGGAGCGTATTGATGAATATGTAGGGGCAGCGGTTGAACTGAGGAAGATTTCCTGTATTGATCGATGCGATACAATATTTGTTGGTGATAAATTAGCTTGAATAGCCCGGTATAGTGAACAATCGTGAGAAAACGAGGGTGATTTCCACTTGATTGGTAAGTTGCTGGTCGAATAAGATTTTCTTTCCCTGAATCCCGCAGATATCAGTGCTTGGGCTTCCCATATCGTCATCATAGATAGTCGCCTGCTAATCGCACCTGTTAACTTGCCTCTTCTGGAATGTGTTTGATGTCAGCTGGACATCCAGATGAAAATGTCGAACTCGTTTTCAGTATCTGGTACTCTGTTCAGGGATCAGTCTACGGTTCTACTTCGCATGATGATGCCACTTCGGCACCCTACGCAGAAACACCCTCATCCATGATGGTGCCGTAAACTTTTGGGGGCTATAAGCTTGACAAGACATATGTGCCGATTTGAAAAGTACAGTATTAGTGTGCTGCAATATGTTAAACGCCAACTTACAAGTTGCTAATATTTATCAGAAGAATCTGCCACCTGTATTAGTTGGTCAGTGGAATATAGGTCTTCGAGTCAATCTTCGGCACAGAATTATTACAAGCTCCAAGTAGAATACTCGACTTTGCACACGAATTTGCAACGTGGGACTTTTGATGTTGCCACAGAGCCTTAAGCTTGGGTTACAACTTTTTTTAAAATAGGATTAATAACAATACAATGTGAGCAATGTAATCACTTTTTACTTACTGCCCATTCTTTTTCCATGGTAGGGTATGGAGTGAAATACAGCCACAGTGGTGCTGAGATATTTACAAAACTCCAAACTACAGGTTTCTGTTGTGAGGATTGAAAACTTTATTAATCTTTCCTGAGGCTAACGCGTTCGCCATCATACTATGCGGGTCTTTCGTTTCGCATTTCTCTCAGCCGTGCTTTATACGTGCTGCCTTCAGTCACCCGTCAGCGGGTGCTGGGTTTTCTGAATGTCCAGATTTTTGCAAATATCTCAGCATCATTGTGGTTATATTTCACAATATTAACAATCTGGCGATATTTAGAAGGGTAAGGAATATTAATTGATCGAACTAAGTAAACAAATAAGTTAAGGGAAACCGATCGGAAACTGGGCAAAAGCTGAAGTGCTCCTTGTATTCCTTTTACAGTGGGTGTTGGTTTACAGAGGAAGCTAGTGTCAATGCTCATAGGAGAATTTTAGAAAGTCTATTAATTTGCATAATCTATTAGAGCTGCTTAAAAAGTTCATGAAGGCTTCACAATAGCTTACACAGGAATTTCATGTGAAGGCGTGCAGCCGCTCTTACGAAAAGTTCATCTGAAGGCGACGCAAACGATTATACAGAGAGTTCATGTTAAGCGATGGAAGAGCTTGTACAAAATGTATATTTGAAAGTGGTATAAAAACTTACAAGACAAGGATAAGTGTGGCTAGCAGTAAGCATAGTTAATATAGGAAATGGACAATATTTAGGGAATAGTTATTATACTAGCAATTCATCAGTCCCAAGGGATGATGGATTTTCCAATCCTTGTGGCCCACATTGAAGCCACGTCTCTTCTCTGTGCCAGACGATTGGCACCTTAATGCACAGCTCCACATGTGTGCACGACTACGAATAAAATCAATAAAGTAGCTTTCGACTTTGATCAATTCCTAAGATATGCGCTATGCATTCAACTTCATTAAGTATCAAGCAGTCGTTAAGTACACTTCATTAAGTGATTGGGTGTATATATTGCGTACAGTATACAGAGATCCTTCCATACCAACCTTCGATTCAGGAGGGATGTGTGAGGTTCAGTGAACCGAGGGCGCATAATCGGACCAAAGATCACGTGTGTAAAGCGCATGGCACATTTTACCACTGCACTACACACGCTTCCCACACTATGAATAAATGGATAATTCGTTCACTGTTAAAAACTTTGCTTTTAGTTCCATTATCTCTACTTCGTCTCCTTTGTGGTTGTCGTTACCGGTTCCATAATCTACTCACTTCGTGAAACACAGGTAATAAAATAACTGACCCTGGTGCTAAACTATGAACAGTTGATGAATGAATGACAAAAGAGTGGTGAACGCGGTTGTTTACTTTTGGTTATTTGAAGTTTATCCCTTCGCTTAACGCCTCCTAATACTTGCGCATACGTTATTGGTTAGATAATGGGACAGAAAATCTGTAATGATGCAGCTGTAACGTCCATAATCCTCAGATCGCAATGTGGGAGATTGAAACATAGGGAAAGGTTTGAATATTTGCTTGTGGGTTTATAGCGAGACAACTCACTAGGATAATTATTTCTTGAATTAATGGACAAGTGTTTATCACTGGTTTGAAACACAGATATTTCTGTGATTGTTAGGATTTTCCTTTCAAATGGTTTAATTTTAAAAAATCTGCTCAGTTCTTCCCTATACGGTGATTAGAACTGAGACAAACATTAGGAGCTACCTCTGCCACGTGGTATACAGCGCAGAAATGCTGCAGAATCTGCATGCTTTTTCTCATAGTACTCTGATTGGTCAATGAAACGCTTTCCACCAATCATAGGCGAGTTTTGTAGAGACGCGATCCGAACGAACCTCGCCGCGTTTGCCCTTGTCTGTTCATCTGCTGCTGTTGCTGTGATTGTTGTTTCGAAGAGGTGGAAAGTACTGAAGGATCGGTAGAAGTAAGCATGTAATTTTCCTATCCGCTTCATCGTTTGCTAATTTACTTGTTAACTATTGAGTACTTTTTTGACTCTTCATTTTATGGTTTTGTTATTTTTAAAGTAATCTTTGCTGTTGGTGACCATTGCTGTGAAAACAGCCGGCCATCTTTCCCTCGTTTTCAGATTGTTTCCTCTATATATTTGGATACTTGATGATGGCCCGTTTTCACTGGTTGTGCGGACGGTGGTGGATCCTGCTATTGATTTACTCTTAGTTGGGTTTCTTAATGAAAACTCCGGACTCCTTCTCATCTTGGGAGACCTGCCGCGGGGTTGAATCCCGCCGCTGTACATCGCACTCCGAACCCAGGAACACCTTTCAGGCACGATGAGGCGTTAAACCGTTGGAAGGTTTTCTCTGTATAAGCCGATTAATATAGAAGAATATGACTATATCGCTACGCGTTATTTTATCTGTTGCTTTTATTTCAGTAATTAAATGACTCTAAGATTGAGAATGGTCGAGTGAGAAATCACTTTTTGATTCATCTCCTCCTTGCGAGAATCGCTCGAAAGGGAATATCAAGCAGTCCTAACAGAAAGAGAGCAGCAGAATTTTTCGTTCTATTTTCTAATAAAGGGGTGAGTGTGATGCAGTGGTCGGAAGCACCCTGCGACACAAACATGGGATCGATCCCCACGCCCCTGGCTCACCAAGTATTCCATCCATCAGAGGTCGGCAAATTGCTACTAGACTTGTCTGAGAGGATAGCAGCACTGGCTCGAGGCTCGATACATCAGCAGGCCACCGCGAGTCATTGTAAAAGTCAGATATGCATTCAATCACCTCCAAACGATGCTTAATGAAGTTGAATGCAAGGCAAATCCCTCAGAGATTGATCAGAGCCGAAGGCTTTATCCTTTATCCATTTTGTTAGAAAGCTAGAAAGTCAGCTTTATCCTTTATCCATTTGTTTCTATTAAAAATAACGCTTCCAAATATTTGCAAACGAAATGACCGATCGAAATGCATAATGCTACAAATGAGTGCTTCCACTGATATTTTTTTCAGACTTCATCGTGGAAGCTATGAATTTTATTGAGAACTGAGTTTCATACTTAAGTGAATCAGCTGAGTAATAGGAGCAGTTTTCGAAATTCTGTTGAAATTTCTGCTTCCAGATCTCTCCAATCAGAATGGTTGAGACACCGACTTCTATAGCAATGTATATCGGTCAAACGGAACCTCACGATTGTCCGATTCACGGTCGGACGACCATCCCCACAACGTTGCCCAACGGAACACGCTACTCAGAGACCAGGCACTGAGCGCTACCTACCACAGTAGTTTTCCGTACTAGGGTAGTTTGAATCACATCACGTAACATTAGCCTTGATTTAATGGAAAGTACCTAGTCGAAACAGTGATTTCTTTGGTTCACGACGTCGGTCTAGATTTGAGCAAGTATTCCATAGGAAACCACGACAACGCCAGAAGCCGATGATTACTTAATGAAAATCACCGTAACTGTCGATTTTTCAATGACACGTGTTAAGTGTGAGTAAAGACTAGCAAATTCGTTGGTTATGTGAGGCAAAGCGGGGCGAGTTTTTGGTGGAGTACAGCATCGGCTGTGAACCGGAAATGAATGGCACTAAGGTTTCGCAAGCAATTCGTACGGTTTACGTCTTCAGGATTTTCTAGACATTCAGATGTTCTCATTTTTCTGCAACCACAGTGAATGTATTCGATCGCAGTTGATAGCTCTCAGTTTCGGTAGAGCCTTAGTTGAAGTGTGACGAACACTGGTAAATAGAATGAAAAAACGTGTGGGGAAAATTCTTATCGTCGTTTCGATCGCCCTGGGTAGATCTCCATTTTACTCTGGCATTTTTGTATTTCTATTTTGTATTCGTTTCTACCACTATCATTCTCTTTATGGTCGAGATTTCACTCAATTTCACTTAATTCTAGGCACATAACAAATCTAGGAGCTTCTTTGAATTTATGGAATTGTTCTATGACGCTGATTGTTGCAGGGTTCCTGTGTATTGCTAATTTGACGGTGATTTTCGTATGTATTGCTGCTCAAACGTCACTTATACGTTTATGGTTGTTTAATTGTGAATTTCTATCTACGATATAAATGCTAATAAAATGTATTGATCAGAGATCTTCTCTAGAGAGCTGGATCTCTTTGCTTGTTTTTTCCTCTTTGACTTCTTTGCTGAACTTCTGTTAATAGACGACTTTAGAAGAAAACTTCTTCTGAAGAAGGCGAAACCGCCGAAACGTTAGCTATTGTATCCTCATAAATTCTATAATACCAACCTCGTGTCTGCTTATTGAAGAAAACACCGAATTATCGATCAATGCCGAGGTTAATAGAAAGCCGGTCTAGGGAATCTTTGCCGAATATTTTTTCGGCAGTAAGGCGCTCCAAACGTAGAGCTGCTAGGAAACACGCAGCCATGCCTTTAGGGAAGCAGGAGCAACAGTAGAGGGTAAATATGTAGAGTTTTAAGAGAGTAGCTACAATGTATGGTTGCGGTACTCGTGTGACGGAAAATACACGACCAAGGGAACCGCTTTGACGCCTGTATGTAGCATCGATAGTTCCAGAAGTGCCGCAGAAAATGCCAGTCACAACTTATGTGATCTCTTCTACTGTTTTCAATTCATTGTGAATGGGTGTCCTAATAGTATCCCTAGGTCGATGTAATATCTAGTTTGTGAAAAATCCTACCCGTCTCCAACAAGTTCTGAACATCTGAAAAATCTATTGACAGTTCTCTCTTTTCCACACGTTACTTGATTACAAGACTTACCTGTCGCCGAAGCGTAGCACAATTTAGTCTCATTTTCATCAGATTGGATAAGGATTCTGTTGAAACGACAGCATTTAGAAAGTTTAGGGGATTCAAGACGGTATTCAATGCATGAACACCTTTCAAAAGCTATACAGTACAGCACCACGACGAAAATTCCGGCATAGTATTTTCACAGTCGTCGGCACGAATTTGGTGCAATAGAATTTATTTAACAGGTTTTCGTGTCTGTGTAAACTAGCACAGGATTGAAGGCGTGAGATTGATGAAAGTGGCCTGCTATTTTATCATGCTTGCTTCGCAGAGAACATCGCTTCTATTTCATGAACCATCAAAGTCGTTCAAAGAATATTGGCTAATACCCGCTGCGCATGTGGATGAACTATCTTGTGACTGAAGTTAGGAGGATGATCTCTATGAAAACACCAGTTCTCCACTTTCCTTGATATACTTCGTACGCTTTTGGCAAATAGGTAAAATCGGCAATAAAACTATCAACATGTGTTAAATTTGTTGAACTTACACAAGGTTGGTAAATTAGCTTCATTCGGCTAACATTTCTACGAGTTCGTTTTTATCAGAACCGATGATCCTAGTCGATGGCCCACAGGTGCTCGTCTTTTCGATGTGGCCCCTCGGTTGTCGTACCGGTCTTCAGTGGAACACGGCAAGATTGAAGCATGCTCGCCCGAAAGTGCTTTCATACAGGACGATTTTCGTTCATAATGACTATCCCTTTGATAATAATTTGTTTTTCTACGGGTAGTCCTTTTTGCCTCCCAACGGTTTACCGCCTCATTGTGGCTGGGAAGTGTTCCTGGGTGTCGGACTGCGATGTACAGCGAGCGGATTCGTCTCCCGGGCAGGGTCTCCCAAACTGAAAAGGAGTCCGGCGTTTCCACCAGGAAGCCTAGCTAAGAGTAAACCAAAACCAGGATCCACCACCGTCCTGGTATCAAAGTCGCATGGTGGCAAATCTCCCTCTGATCCACAAGGGTTGCGACTGCCTGTCGTGGTGACGACCTGGGGCAGACTTTGGCCAGGATGTCCTCAGGATTCTAGGAACCACAATGGTTTAACCAGCAAATCTCAAAAAAAATGGTGATTATGCTGGGGCCCGCACAACCAGTGAGCACAGGCCGTTCAAGTATCAAGTAAGTAAGTCCTTTCGTAGCAGTCGGTACTGTGTTAGCTAGCATATAGCGAATATCAAAACAATAGTTTTCAAACCAACCGTTATTCAACTTTGGTACTACAGTACAACATTACCGATGAGCATGCTTCATTCGAGACAGAAGTAAAGATCATATATCAACCTCGTGTTTGCTCAACAATTTAAACACATATTGATTACCAACTTAGTCGAAACGTCATTTTCTTGTATTTCTTCTATCTGAATCCTTTCGCTTCTACGCTGATACATTTTATCTTTATCTAATTCAACTACATCATGGAATTGCTATTTATGATCGATGAAATGCAGGAGTTATTGTGGAAGAAGAGAGTCGTCAAGCTCCTCAAATGAGTCGTTGGTTTTCGGGCGGTGTTGACCAGTCTTCGGACGAGTTGTGCCGTCTCCTATCGGATCCGAGTACGTCAAATCAGCTGACTCTGAAAAGTGTTCCACTATTAATATTATTGCGATTTTAAACATCTGTAATACGAAGTGTAGAATTGCCAGTCGGATTTTAAAATTATCTATAGCTTTAGACAAAGACTATGTGCAAAACTTTGTTTAAGAATTTTGTAAGAGGTAAAATGAATGAGAAGAAGATATAATGTGGAAGAATCTAAGAATATCAAACAGCGCGCTCTTTTGAAAGTCGAAAACTACGTCTTCTTATGAAATGTGATATGGAAGCTACACGGTTCCTAACATGGTAGAGCGCAGTTATCCCTGGAATCCATCGATCACCATGTTAGGACGTCTCTATTTCCTTTCCATGCACTTGGTGTGTTATCTGTTTTCGATTTGAGTTTTATGCATTCATAAATAAAGAATGGATGCGCCACAAAGTTAGCATTCTTTCTACTGGTAGCATTTCGAAGACTACTTCAAATTGCTTTATTTTGTCATTTCTATGTTAGTGCTAGATTATATAGTAGAATCGTAAAAGGTCAACGCTCTCGGTATTTACCATTTCCTGAGAGCTCGTGATGTATACGACTTCATCGAGCATCGTTAGAGGTGACTGAATACATATCCGGCTTATACAATAGCTTGCGGTGGCCTACCGATGTATCGAATCAGTGTTGCTATACTCCCTAACAGGTCTGCCACCAATTTACCACCCCCGAAGGGATGGAGGGCTTGGTGAGCCTGGGGCGCGAGGTCGACCTTGGATGTATTGCAGTGCGCCTCTCACCACTGCACCGCACACCCGATTTTGTAGCAATAACATAATTCTTTTAAATTACTTACTCATATCTCTTGGTGCAATAGAGAACGGTTTATCATCGAGTGTGAATTTGGCGCTCGATATCCTTAGGCTATTTAAGGACATGGGACGTTCACCTAGGAAGAGCAAACTTCAACTAGTTACTCTATCATTAACATTGCTGATTGCATACACGAATCAATTAACGAGCCAAACTGGCGTAATGTTCATCTGCTCTCACGCTGTTGAAAAATACGTGAAATGATAAAACCTGATCCTCCATGTGTTGGTGGTAGGCTGTTCGCCGAACGAGCACTGTGTCGTTTGCCTTGGCTACTGTCCGACTCTCGTTGCATCTTCAGCTGTCGAACTCGTTCTGCTTTTCCCAACTTCTCGATGTAGTCCTTGGCTTCCGGCATACCAAGGTCGGTGGTGATACGAACGAGAAACTTGAGACCTTTAATATAACATGAACAATATGCTATGATTATGGCTGAACTAACCATGTTCTGTGATATTGTACCAAAAAGACATTAATCACATTCGAAAATGAACCGCAGGGAAGAATGCCTCATTATTACGCGTGATATTGGGCAGTATATAAGCCTGTTATTCTGACGGGAGGGGCACATTACGCTTCCATGTGAATTCTGTGCGGTTGATCTTCACGCGACATATTTAGTGGAAGCCTCATAGTCTTGGTTTAGCGTTTTCTTTGTTTGGTTATGGAGGTGTTTGGCCGAATAGATTGCTGTCAACTTGACCTTTCCAGGCTCTGAGGAAAGCGAAATCCGCTTAAACGTCAGCTTATTCGTGGATAAAGAATAAAAATAACACCTCGCGTTTGCTCAACAAGAATACGAAGAATTAATCATAGCGTTTAACTTCTATTTACAATCACAACGATGCCGAGATATCTGCAAAACTTAGACCCTAGTCCAAATTTGAGCCACGATTACCATTTTCCGGGGTTCACGTGTTACTCACTGTACCATCGAAGCCTTTGCTTTAAGTTTCTCTCAGACAGTTATTTTACCCTAAAGTGCTATCAGCAGTCATCCATTAAGAACTTAATTGTTCAAATCTCCTCGACTGAGAGGTACTCAGTCACTTTTTCGCCAGGCTATAGCGCATCCTCGGGTGCCATATGGGAGGTTAAACGAGGTCCAAGGTAACCTTATCTGATGCGCTTGTTTTGAGCCGTAAACGAATTCAGAGGATATACGTACCGTCTTTGCCGTGGCCTATTTAGAATATACCTAATGTTCTCCAATAGTCCATAGTCGACGGCATTTTTAACAACGAGAAATATAATCAAAGAATATTGACGAAAAGTAGAATCACGAGTGATTCGCTGCTGAAACTCACATTCAATATTTGCAGGAAACTTTTTATGAATGCTACTGTAAAGTTCGAGCGCCTTTTGATAGTTACCAGCTCGTCGATGAGAGGATGCCATCATAAGCTGCCATTTTATCTCGTTTGGCCTAAATATTCTTAAATAAGCTGGAGCAGGTAGACAGAAATTTCGAAAGAAGGAGACGGAGGAAATTTAAGTCCTCACTCAAAATGAATAAAAATCCTCATAACTTCTTAGTTATCACGAACATATGATCTAAATAACCTTCTAAGAACAAAAGCTGTTCTTTTTGGTTGGTAGTTAGGATTTTGTGTCGCATATTTAAGTACTAGCTTGCTGTTCTATTAACACCTCCTAATTTTCCTGGCTACCGCGTGCTTTTCGACAAAACTAATGTAAGTAAGAAACTGAGAGTTTGGTAGAAGAGGCGTTGTTCCAACTGTAACAATAAAATGAAATAGCACTAAGCAAACATGGCGAACGAACTGCATAATTGAGGCCTTCTCGAAGTAGTTGACAGCTTTTTCCGAGAACTGCGCGTCGATGTAGTAGGCACCCATCCATTCGATCACCTTCAGATTTGAAGGATAGTACCGATAGCTCTGGAATTGTTCTGATTATTTCAGGAGCCCAGGTTCTTATCAACAGTGTTTGGTGAATCCTAGCTGTGAAAGCAAGACTTGCAGTGAGGCGACTGTAAATCAATCGTCTTGTCATTCCTGTCTTTTGAATGAAGCTTAGCTGAACGGTTTTAACACACAGATCGTTTGCGAGAATAAGCCGACTATACTTAAAGGAAAGCATCAAAGCTTCGTAATTGCCATTTTGGGCATTTCTCTTAGTTTTCTCTTAAGCTCGCACTTATTCCCTTGCGAAAATATGTTTTAAGCAATTTTCGTTCCTTGCAAAAAATTTGTACTACATCGCTTAACATTGTAATATCGTTCTCACACCTCAACACGAGTTTTTGTCAGTGGTGAAAAAAGTTTGCTTGAGATTTAAGCTTAACAAAAACAGATGCTCACTGACTCTAGACTGTTTTAATAGTATCATAAAAATCTACTGCTCAATCACATCGTAGTTGCTTTGGAAAGCCTGCGTCTTGTCGCCCTCGGCGTCGTAGATAGCAGCGAGTCGTGCCAGAATCGCCGGATCCGACGGCGCCAGACTATTCGCCTGGCTGTACAGTTCTATCGCCTGAGCCGTGTCTTCCAGTGATTCGTAGCTGCAAATTTCAATCAACTCTTTTTATTGAAAGCGCGTTTCACTTTTCTGGGTTTAAAATATCGCCTCCTTGTTTCTCAGTAATTAACTAATCACTTTCACAATGTATTAACAACTCTATAATAATATGCTTCCAGCTAAATATTTTTAGAACACAATCATGCGTAAACGTGAATTATATCCGAGAACAAAGTGTCGATCATCATCGAGAACGTTAATGAATTCGTTCGACATGGATCAGCTAAGAGATGTGATCACTAGGTGACTGTCAACCGCCGAATTTCTACAACAGCTAAGTGTGCTCCTGGGTCTGAACTATGAAAAATCACTTCCAGGAGTGACTATTCCAAATGTGCAACAGATATATGGTGATGTTTCTTAGTTTAGACACTTTTCTCCATGGGTTTGGCATTTCGAAAAATATATTCTATGTGGATGTTTGAACGACCATTCTCTACTTGCTGCTGGGATATTTGAACCCATTGGTCTTCAGGCAACATGTCTATACCACGTATTTGCTTAGAACAAAAATGTGCCAGAACATTTTTGTAAGTACAAACTGTGCTATTTATTGATGTTTTTAGAATCTCAATGCATTAGTTACCGTCATAAAAAAAAGCTGCAAACTAGTAGTTTCTGATGAAAAACTGTGAACGACGGCTCGGATCTACCCTAGCACCTTTGTGAAACCGAAAGCCTAGGCAAAGTTAATAGCCATAGGATTCTTCCTCACCAATCTATTAAATACAACGTATGCGCTATATAGGTAAGATATATCCTGTCATTCACACATGGTAGTTGGCTCGACACCACCCACTTGGTTAAACAAGTTTCCATAACATCGGGGTTAGCTCTGTCTGGGAGTGTAAAAACATTGACTTCACAGATGATTAATTGGACACAAATCACTTCATGTGCCAAAAATGCATTCAACCATCTCAACGACGTTTAATGAAGTCGAATGTATGGCCCGTTGTTAAGGGGTTAATCAACGTCGAGTGCTACATACTTCCTCGTTTACCTGATCGAACTTAGTTGCCAAATGCTAAAATCCCTTGTAAAGTAGAAGCGCCTAACAGTTTGAAACGGGACCACATAAGGCTCTGGCTCAGATCTCTCGCGAACTCAACTTATTAAGCCAACACTGCGGAGGCACTTGTGTTAGGACACTTGAAGATCGGCCACGAATGCATCGAAGTAGGTAATATTCTATAATGGAGAATAATTTCAACTTACTGATTCATCTTCATGGTTGCTCTAGAATTTTTATATTTTAATTGCTTCAAAGAAGTGGGGACAGCGCAGAGGTTAGTGGTTCCGTTAATGGAAAAGCAAGGTGTTGGTTTGACCCGTAATCCCGTCAAAGCTCTCCCGTAATCCAGGTGGGAACGCCTTAACCCGACTATCTCTTAGAATGCAAAGAGAATTGACTCGATCAGAATTCCACGACAACCGTAAAGAAGACAACATCCTCAAGCAGCAGCTGAAACCACGCGTGGAATGTTCGATGATCGTTGTGGACGACAAATGCGAGGAAAACTGGTCTAGTGTAAGAAGTGCTGGGGTCCGCACGAAAGATGTGATAATGGATCACGTAAAATAAAAACAATAATAGCAATTGCTTTGAAGCATTGTTTCTATATGCATCCGAAGTGAACAAATCAGTTAATATTTAGATGTGATGTGCACAAAATGGTTTCTGAGAAACAGCAAAAGAGCAAATAACGAAGGAATGTTGGACTTACATAGACGCCAGCTGACACAATACTTGAACATTGTTGAGAAGTATATTATGGAGCCGATAAAAAAATTCCAGCGCTTGCTCGACATTCCCAAGCTGGCGGCATACCAGTCCCATATTGTAGAGCGCCTGCAAATGGACACTCGACCGTACCATAGTCAGAAATCAAACTCCTACAATTATTTCAGAACTTTTAATCGGAGTTTTTTGTTAGTCGAAGAAAATTCTACTGCGCTATAGTCATCGATTAGACATGATTTAAGTTTCTTCTCTCTTTACATCAACTACCAATAGCCGTTGTGAGAAAGGAGGCCTGCATTTCATTTAATTCCTGTTCTACATAAAATCCCAAATTTTCCCGACTAACTTTTTCTTTTTTTTCCTGTTTCTTGAAGTGTGAAGGCTCGTGGGGCAGTGGTCGGAGCTCCCTGCAAGACACACACCTGGGGTCGATTTCCGTGCCTCTGGCCCACTAAGCGTTCCATCCTTATGGGATCGGCAGTTTGATACCAGACTTGTCTGAGAGGATAGCAGTACTGGCTCGAGGCTCGATAGATCAGCAGGCCACCGCGAGTCATTGTAAAAGCCAGACATGGATTCAATTACTTCCAAACAATGCTTAATGAAGTCGAATACATGGCGCATCCTTCAGAGGTTGGTCAACGCCCAGAGCTTTGTCCTTTACCCTTTATCTTGAATTTTTCTTAATGTATAATGACAAATAATCACTTGGATACATCCGGCATCGTTGTTTAAAGCTTCGCGATAATTCGCGTAAGCTTTTTCGTAGTCACCTCGAAGATAGGCGATGTTGCCTGAAAAATTTCGAGAAAGAAGATTCTCTTTTAACTCATTTATTCGGTCAACTATATTGTTACTAGCTCTATTCACACATTAAAATGCCAAGCTGATATTTTTTTCTAATTCTGTACTATCTATCTGACGATCAGAAGCATGCAGCGCATATTAACCGTCCTGTGACAAAGTTTTTCTCTTAGTCTTATTAAAGAAGTTTTTTCAAGATATTCCTAAACAAGAAGTGGAGAGAAAGCTTTCCACAAAGGATAACTGTATGAAACATAACTTGTCATGCTTTCAGAATTCCCTAGACATTGCAGAAGGCCGACCTTCAGGTAATTAAAAGTAAAATTTAAATTTCTATCACAATAAATTCTCACCGCATTTCTAAATAAATAGAATGTAAGTTTCGTAACGACATAAAACCGAGATCTAACGTATTAAAGTAATCTTAGGCTTCAATTTTTAACTTCAATTTTAATCTTAACTGAAGTTTGTAAAGTCAAGTAACGGTTAAATAAGGCTATCATTTCACCTGCGTTTACCAGCGCGTTGGCGTTGTAGTGATCCAAAGCCAGTGATTGCTCTGAGTACTGTTCAGCCTCTTGCAACTTCTCTCCACCTTGCTAAAAGGTCGCCATTATAAAACAAAAAATTTCTCAATTTTTACACAAACTTTACTTGCTGACAGTTTAACTAGCTGGTTTATATGATAATTTTTGAGTTCTAGGTTCTTTATGAGCACGGGAAACGCGCTGGCTAAGGATTCTGGGCAGTACACACGCTATGCCCGCATGTTCGATCCTACAAAGCTTTCAAGTTTTGTATATCTTCCAGGTTCGTAAGTTGATAGTAGATTTCTCTGCGAAATACACCCCTCGATCTGTAATGGCAGACTGGTCCGTGGTCAAGACCCTGGAACATGCTAGAATGGCTCTCCCAGGATCTTCTCTAAGAGGATCAACTCGACCAGCATTCTACAACATTCATTACAAAGACAAGGCACGAGATTGAGCAGCTAAACCAATACGCAAATAGGAAGATCTATGTAGATAAAAAGGCAGAGGTCAAAGCGAAATAAGTCCCATTATCCTCAAAATGTAAAGATGGGTCATTCCATGTGAAAATAAAATTCAAAAAAGTTCGTAAGTGGTTTCAACGCCCCGCTAACTAACCAGCAGTTTCAACACGCAGAGATTATTAGCGGCTGCACTAGCAATTTTCGATTCCTGGGCGTGAAACACCTTCAACACCTGAAACGGGTTCAAATAGCATTCTACGAACGTGTTTGCTCATAGACAATGCGCCGAAAAGCTATTGTCACAATAAGGAGGTGTTCTGAAAAAAACTAACAATTCCATATCAAAGCAACTCTATTTCCTCAGTTCTGTATCCCGTACACTTACTTGATACTTGGTACTTGAACGGCCCGTCCTCACTGGTTGTGTGGGCTCCAGCATAATCTCCATTTTTCGGAGAATTGCTGTTTAAGCCATTGTGGTTTCTTGCAATCCAGAGGTCAGCCTGGCCAAGGTCTGCCCTAGATCCTCACCACTACAGGCAGTCGCAGCCCTTGTGAATCAGAGAGAGATTTGCCACCATGCGACTTTGATACCAGGACGATGGTGGATCCTGGTGATGGTTTACTCTTAGCTGGGCTTTCTGATGGAAACGCCAGGCCCCTTCTCAGTTTGGCAAACCACACCAGTAAAACGAATTCCCCCGCTGTATATCGCAGTCCGACACCCAGGAACACTTCCCAGCCCCAATGGGGCGGTAAACCGTTAGGAGGATCCTGTACTCTTAGTTACATCCAACTTTACATTTCATCTATCCATAAATATTTTTGCAGAGTGCTCTGTTCGATTTGAAGAATACAGATAAATTCGCTTGATGAAAGCCTACTTCAGTAGCTCCTTCTATATCTCCTCTTTTAAGCAGTTCAGCTGCTTTACTCATCTCCAACTCGTTAGCTAACGAGGCGTGAACCGACTGCTTAATCGTTTCTACACACCACTCATATCCGGATGCAAAGCTGAATGCAGTTCATTTAAAAGTGTTCAGTTGTCATTATATTATTGCTTTTTTAATGATTAATGTATTTCTGCCTAATTTTTGCTGTTTATTTGTTTCTTTTTACGATTTTTAAACACCAATAGCGGCATAAGTGGGCTAATTTCACGCCTGCTTATCTGCTATACGAAATAGCTGTCGTACTACGTAATGCTTAATTTTTAAACAAATGATCCATTTATGTCAAGAAATATATGGAAAACTGAAAAATCATGTGTTGATATACGAACTCGGAAGCGATCGCCGGACTAATCGTCCTCGCAGCCGTAAGTATCGCCCTCTCGGCGTCGGCTCGTTGACGCCGCGTCCACTGGCGCAGAGAGTCGTTGTTCAATACTTGCGCCATCAGCACGTCGTCTTTGTCCTCAAAATAGTTCTTGCTCGAAAATCAAGCAAGAGAAGATTCTCACAGTAACTCTAAGCTGCCTCTCGTCACGTAGAGGCACATTCACCGCTGTTATTTCAGATATTATTTTAAGTAATAATAGTGAATTATTTGCCAATGTGTCTCTCCGGTCCATGAAATAAGTTAGGACCATCTTAAAGTAGACTTCATAGCGAAAATATCGAAATTCGCTTTTTTAATTTAGATGACAAACCTCTTTCCCTAATTTAGGATGAGGAGGTGGTTCCGCGTCCAATCCTTATGAGCCTTTTTACTCCGTCCAAATGAATGTTCTCCTGAGAGGGTCTATCGGGTATCTAATCCATATATTTGAATAATTCTTAAGCTTTCGAGTTTCATATATCCGTCAAAAGCGCTTCACCACCTTTTTTCCAAATCTTAACAACACTAACGACCTCTTTCATGACGTTTGGCGTCGTCATTCAACTACGAGACATGAGAAAATTACATTGTGCTTGTTGTCTTCATCGTCATCGAGCGGCACATCGAGTAGCTTTTGAAATCCATCGCGCATTCGATCCGCATCCTCGAGGCAGTACGCTGTTAATACTGGAAAGAGAATAGAATAAGCGATAAATCAATACTCTTGAAATAAATTGCAATATCGAAAACGTTTTCGGTTAGGTCTATTTTGTAAATAGATGGAGACTTTAAGTAACCATCAGTTAGAAACGAGACTTTCACGATCCTGAAAAAAGAAGAAGAAATTTTTTCAATAACTTCTATACCCATGTTCAGTGCCGTTTTGAAATCGGCTCGTTCGTCAACGCAGTGCTCGAAAGTCGACATAGCGTCGTTGTACTTGCCCATCTTGATGAATGCAACACCGATATTGTTGAGAATGTTTATTCTGAACAGAATATCTGCGTCTGACAACCCATTTTACTTTTCAAAACTCTCATTTTCAAGAATTTAGTTAGAAGACTGGTAACTAATCTACCACTCGTTGTTTTAGCAATTGGTGATTTTCAGTTATTCGGGCACTTCGACTTAAGCTCATTTCCAATTTATTCAAGTTTTAGTGGAAGGTTCGTTTGTCGTGTGGTGGTAATTCTGCCACACGAGTGATCCGTAATGATTTTCCACACTTCAAACTTGGATACTTAAAGCTCTTGTGGAAATAATCTTTGTGCGACAATGCAGTGAGCTTCGACAGTGTAGATATTAATTTGCCTTAACAATCATCTAGAGCATTATTCAGGGGGTTTATGAGAATAAAATAGGGATAGAGCTCTCGGCGCTGATCAATCCCTTGAGGAATGCTCCATGAATTCGACTTCATTAAGCATCGTTGTAACAGACAAGTCTGGTACCATTTTGCCTACCTCGGAGGGATGGAAAGCTTAGTGAGCCACGAGTGTGCCCATGTGTGTGTTGTACGGGGGCCTCCGATGACTGCGGTACACACGCCCACTTTATGAGTGTATGGGATATAACTATGAATGCTGTTTAGGTGAAAATATTTGTATAACTACGACAGCACAAGTTTCATAGTTGAATGAGCTAGAGTACTTATGAGCAGTGCAAGTATTGGAGACAATTGCTATAGTAACACCATGTAGTACAATTTAAACTTTTTATTTAGCGCCTACTACTTTTTTCCACGAGAGTAATATGTGAAAAAACAACCACAATGATGCTGAGATATTACCAAAACTCCGGACTGCAGGTGTCTGTGGTGAGGTTCGAACACGCTATTACTCTTTCCGGGCGCTAAAGTGTTCACCACCGCACCATGCGGATCCCTCGTTTCGCCTTTCTTTCACCTAGTTTTTATCTACCAGTGACATCATCAGTCACCCGTCTGAATCCAGTTAAGCTGAAGTTGTAGTCGAAATCACGATGTTACCTTTTCATTTACTGCCTATTACAGTTCACGGAGGGTATTATTTCATACCATGGAATGAAAGGTTTGCTTACCAAGAGACACAAAACTTGCGATCTTGTGCGTATTGCACGGTACCTTTAACCACTCTACTGCACACGTACTATACACGCATATCAATAATATCGGTTTAGAATATCCTATGACAACAAAATCCAACTCAAAATTGAGGAATAACCTGAAGTTAATTTCGAATATTCTTCTTAAATAATAGTTATTTTTTGTAGAGATGTAATTACCTGATCTCCTTTTGAATACTCGGCACCTGATCTAGCGCCATACGGTAGTACTTTATTGCCTTATTATAGTCCTTTTTCTTGAAGTAAATATTACCGATGTTTACCTAGAAGAAAGAGCATCCATCCGAACTATATTTGAAAACTGCAGATCCTTGAGAAATGCCCGTCGGGTGGGGGAGGGGCCTGTTCTTACAATCAAAAGCAGTGGGAATCAAAAGCATCAAACGAAGGGCATGTTTTTCGTGTTCATGGAGGACACCGTACAGGATAGTGCAATTCTTATTTCATTGATCGAGTTGTTAAATCTCAAAGTGTACAGAGAAAATGACCAAAATCGTACGCTTCCATTTGTCGCCACTTCTTTCTGGTCATGTCATGTCGGTCATGAGCTATTTTTTTCCTTATTAACCATTATTATCTTGCAACTGTATCGATCTTTGTTGTTTCTTATTCATTGCCAGTGCTTTTCGGTATGAAGCTGCAGAAGGAAAAAACCCACTGACCTTTAGTCGTCCAGAATTCTGGAACATCTTGTTCTTTACAATAATCTGATAGGTATTTAATGCCTCGTTTGCCATGTCGTTCGCCATGTACTGAAAAGTCACAGTGACACCCGTAAACACACGGATACCAATGGTTGTTTTTACCTGTTGCGCCAAATTAAATAGAACCGTGAATGTTAAGTCAATATTCATTGATTCCACAACACTTTGTTGTTCGCGGAACTTCACTACGGCTCGTTCTCTTCGTCCTGCTTCCTTCGCTTTGTCTAGAGCCTGAATTTTCATTTTTTATTCATTTTATTTTGTATTAGAAACTCTCAAACTGACTCCCACATTGAGGCCACATATACTTCTAGCAACCATTAACAACCAAACATGAAACACACAAAGCCAACGTTAGGTGGTTTTAAGGGCATTTACGGAAAAGCAACACCAGTTTTGTTAAGAATATATTCAGAAAATACCGAGAGGAAGAGAGTTGCATGAAAAACTTATAATATTGATCATGAGAAAATACAAAAAAGGATTAAGACATTTCGATATCACCTGGAATCGCACTGAGCTCATCGGCTCCTATGCCGTTCTCACCTGAGGGGTGTCAGATAAATTTAGATATTGAGTTATAGACTATCAAATTCGAAGCACTGAGAGCACCGTTGTCTGGGAGGATAACAGCACTGGCTCGATACATCGGTAGGCCACCTTGAGTCACCGTAAAGGCCAGATACGCATTCAATCACCTCCAAACGATGTTTAATGAAGTCGAATGCATGACGAATCCTTAGGGATTGATCAACGCAGAGAACTTTTTTTAACAGCACCGATCCGGCAATCAAACTACTAAATGAAAGCTGAACAGAGAGTATTGAGCACTATGTGACGTTTGAGCGAGCAGCACCCATTTAGCGGCCCGGGAGGAGGTATGAAGAGTTGTTCAGCTTTTTGAAATACAACAAGGGAAGAGAGTAAAAATAGTAAGAGCGCTATTTGAAAGTTGACTAAATCGACTGAAAAACTTTACTTCCACAGTTGGATGGTCCATCTTAGGAAGATGTTCCTGCCTCATAAAATTTTCTAATCTATGACGGAGTCTATCGAAAATGACAACGTCTGTGAATAATTCACGGTTTTCTCGATAAGCGAACATAATGTTGTTATTAATTAACTCACAAATAAGCTGACGCTTCGTCGGATCTCGCATTCTTTAGAGCCCACTATTGTCCTTCAAAGGCGGTCCTCTAACTACTGATCACAGTGGTGTTCTTTCGTCGCTCATTTCTTCAACTGAACGAACATCTACCTTTGCTGCATAAAAGAGAGTGGAGCGTAGTGGTCGTATTTCGATGTCCAGTACTCAGTGGCTGTGCTCAGGTAGGCCGCATACATCGTGTGGTTGTCTTCTTTGATGAACTTCGAACAACTTGGTTGTAGGCAGCAGTGGAGAAAGTGTATTGTTTGTTGAGCTAAGACTATCTTTTGTCTTAGTGTCAGCGTTTCTTTTACAAATCGGAAACATTTTGTTGGCACTTCTTGTAGTAAATTCCGGAACCGACTTTCTATTAACCTCGGCATTGACATTAACCGAAACATCAACTAATTCATCAATGACGAATAAAGTAACAACCTCATGTTTGCTCATTCAGTGCTCATTTGTGCTCATTTGATCAATGCCAAAGCTAATAGAAAGTCGGTCTTGAGAGTTACATCTTTGATTAATATTCCGAGATCCATAAATTGTTTACAGCTGCGACTACAGCTAATGTAAGCCATAAACACATCCGCCGCTGGTATAGGTGTTCACTCTAGAGGATATTTTCATGTTTTTAGGGTACTCTTTCTACTCTTCCCTCTATCGTCAACATTTAATATATACAATTGGCCTATTTAGGTTTCGTTCTCGATTTATTCCCTACAACTCTATGGAGTAACATTTTTGTAGGCCAGAATTGCATTCAAAAATAGGACCTAAGTGTAGATTTTTGAGAGACACAGCTGATCGGTGGATTCGTTGAAAGCACTGAAACCTGCCCATGTTGCTCCCCTCTCAAACCACCCATCTCATCTGTTTTCTATCGCGCCATTAGTTTTTTTTTATGAACTGGATATTTTCATCAATTCATAGTTCTATCCTTTTCTCCAATCTGCTAAGCTCTTTGGAGCAGCTTTTGCCTCATTCGCACTTTTAGAATAGCTTGCAGCACACTCAGCAAAATGAGTGATTGAGCAAAATGAAGATCTCGCAGAAACTGATCATGAATGGCGGAGGCTTTTTCTATCCTGACAGTGTGACTTTCTCTAAAATACTGGGGCTTTGTAAAGATTTGATGAGATAACTCCGGTGCTTCACACATCCATTTCAAAGTCGTGAAACGGCAACGGAAAATCTATATTCTCTCCATTCAGTTCCAATGGCCTTCGGGTAGAACCTTTATGTAGGGAGTGTTTTGTTGAATCTTTGTGTGTAAACACCTCGCCTCTTTCAGACTTCTTCTTTCGGCAGCGAAGAGGCTTTCCTTGAGCATGTCCATCACACGTTGTTCCATCGCCTTGCATTTTTCCTCTGTTCTAGAATGTAGTAGCACATAATCTTAGTTTCTATTTTTGTTGTTACCAATTGTAATCCTTAAAAGAAGCGAAAGCGAAAAGCGACGTACGACTCAGTAGTCTTCGCATCTGATGCAGCGGCCGACTCGGCAGCTTGCACTGAAAGTTCGTTTGAAACGTGAGCAAATAGTTGTCATTGAACGATGAAGAATTCAGCTGAAGTTTAACGCTTGCTCATTTAGTACAAAATTTGTAAAAAAAAATCACCTTTTTTTGCAAATGATGTGTAGCCGGCCGCTCGGACAGCCGTCATTGGCCTTGCCGGTTCATTTCTAGTTGCCATTGGCGCCCCAGAGGTTCTGTTCCGGACACCATAGGCGGACGGGCCGCCGTAGCCGAAATTCGGCGCCATCCCGAATGCCGACGGTACACGATTGGCTACCGAAGATGTCCAAAATTACAGATTTGTCCTAATTAATCTCCAAATTTTTATGAATAGCAAATGTGAAAAGCAGTGGTTATATGTAGGACTCTATAAGAATTGAGTATGACATGGATTGACGTCTTTGCCGAGAAGGCACTGAAAATAACTAGCGAATCACTTTTTCCTCCCGCATGTATTACTTTACTCTGTAACCCCACTCTTCTATTCTACCGGTAGGTTCTTCTCAGTTACATCAATGTTTGGTAAATTCATATTCACAACAACGTCACCTAAGCTGCGAAATAACGCCATGCTCACTGTGAATTTCGCTCCAGATTTTTTCCTTTCGTTTTTATTATTTCGAAAAAAATAAGTTCAACGCTCATACTGCTCAAAAAACAATCAAGCTTAAATTGAACAGCAAAGAGCTCGGTTGTTTTACTGGTGTTTTTTCCTGGAAAGCATGGTTCAAGTTGGCTCTTTTATTTTCACTCTTATACACTTCCAATTTGAAGGACCTACAGCTAGTCCTCATCATCACATGTCCACCTCTCTACACGTCGCATGGTACAGTGCAATATTCCAAGCCAGTAGAAAACCAGCAGAGCCATTGCACGAAAAAGAACGATATCAGAAACGACCGTAAATTTGACTGCTGTTTGTTGTCTACAAGCTCGTGATTCCAGTTGTTTTGAACAGGATTGACAGCACAACAGAGGAGGAAGCGACATCAGCGAAATCATGACAGCCAGGGCGTCCTTGCTCACTAGCTAGAGATCGTTCATGAGCTATGTAACGACTTCGCAAGTATAGTATTGCCATTATACAACAGCATTAATACCGACTTGAAGAGAGGTTTTCGACAGGGCGATACCATTTCGTTAAAAGTAGTAATAGAATAGCTATTCACAAGGACGTAGTTCGAGAATTGAGATGAGGCCAAATTGAACTAAAAGTCGTTAGCAGACGGTTTCACTATTTTCGCTTCGCTGATAATATCGTTAAGACTACATCAAGCATTAGCCAAGGAGAGTCAACGATAGACGAATTGATAGCGCGAGCTGAAGACTCGGTTTTCGGAAGAATTTAAAGAAAACAACATTCATGAGCAGCCAAATCGTTTCCAAAATTCCAAGCCGATATTACCCGAAAAGAAATGAGATCGCGACGTTCCATTCACTCTCTTCGGAAAGGACAAATTTGGGTGCTTTGTCATTATATGTCCTGATCAGGACTTTAGAATGATAAACGAATTGTTTTCACAGCTGAGAATAACGGAACAAATGGCTTAGGAAACCTGTGAACATCGTGGGTGTAATGAAAATGATAAAAAATAACCGGCTCATTGGTCACCTTCTCGTCTACACGAGATTCAACCCTCTTTCTGCTTAATGTGTACCCCGGAAACCTGAAAATTTTTGAGAAGGACGAAGAAGTGGTGACAAGCTACGGAACTATTGAGAAGATGAAGTTAGGAGTTTCACATGCAAATCGACTAGCGTGAGAAATCAGAACTACTCATCCGTGTTTGCAACCGAACCAAGAAATGGAGGCGCCCGCGCATTCGGTGAGATGTCGAAAATCATGAATACCGAAGAGTCGATAAAGGTGCTAATGCACCTTTGCACATATGTGATGATCCTCGAAGGTTTTCCGCTTCATTAAAGCTTCATGATGGAGCTGTTTCAGGCGGTCGAAATGCGATCACTTTAACTACCCCATGGTTCAACCTTCAGCAGGGTCACGTATTCTGACGATAAATTCAACATTTTGACTCGGAACCTCGGCCAATGGTAAACCTCCTTTTGCTAACCACGAAGAGACTGAGTTCCAATGCGGCAAATTTCCTTGCCTGCTGGGACGATTGAACAACGACACAAGTTTCAGCAGTGAAAAAACCTGGTTAAAGCACAAAACTGCAAGCGAAATTGAAATGGTGAAATGGATGTGGTGAAGCCCGCGCGATTCTTTCTGAAGACAGAGCATGTAGTTTTTTGCACATCCAATGAAACCGTTGTTATTATCTCACATCTTTCTTTTTGCAAGGAAAACCTCCGATTAAAAAAATTTTGAAGTAAAACAAATGACGCGAAAAATCACCGGCCTCCGTCCATGACTTGATCGCAGCACTGCTTGTTGAAAAGCTGGATCTTGCGCGAGTTGCTTTAATTAAAGACTTTTCGTCAAATTCGCAATTAACGAGGATGTAGTATTTATTTTCAGTAAAACTAACTCACCTCAGTATCGTATGCACGCTCGTAGTCATCAAATCCTCCGTAGAGGTCCTCTGTTGACCGCGTAGACATGGAAAGTTGTCGGTTCAATGTTACGGCAACACTGCGCTACACGTTGTCAAGGAGACTAGCAGCCAACAGAGCAATTTAGGATGTTAGGGACAAATCGGGAAAGCTGTGCATGTCTTAAGTATTAAGAGCCATAAGAATTACTTTCCCCGATAATCAGAAGGGTTCGAAGATTTTTTAGGCTTCCAGTCATGAATTTGCAAATTTGAAAAACACCCCAATCATGACGTTTTCAAATGCGAATGGAAACCATTGTGTTTTCTGGTAAGAAACCGTGTAACAAGGAAACCGACTCTAACTTCTCATTGTTTCAGTATGCAATGAACAGCAGCATTTGTGTGTAAAGTAATGAAAAGTGGTTATTACACCTTTTAAAGCGCTGAGTACTGCGAAGTACTCGTCATATTTGCTTTACTATATCTCATTGATAGCTGATAGCACCTGTAGGTTAAATCATGGCTGAGAGAAAGGCGAAACGAATGACGCGCATTGTGTGTTGGTGAACACGTTAACCCCTGTAAGGGTAATAGTGGTTTCGATACCAACTGTAGACAGCTGCGGTCCGGAGTTTTGCAAATATCTTCCTTAGATACCTGGATACCTGTATACTTGGATGGCCCGCCCTCACTGGTTGTGCGGGTTCAGCATAATTTCCATTTTTTCGGAGTTTTGCTGGTTTAGCCATTGTGGTTTCCTCGAGCCCCGAGGTCAGCCTAGCCAAAGTCTGTCCCAGGTGGTCACCACCACAGGCATTCGCCGTCTTTGTGGATCAGAGCGAAATTTGACACCATGCTACTAGTTTAATACCAGGACGGTGGCAGATCCTGATATCGGTATACCCTTAACTGGGCTTCCTGATGGGAATTTCGAACTCTTTCTCAGCTTGGGAGACCCTGCTAGGAGGAGGAATCTCCTAGTTATTCATCGCATCCCGACAAGCAGGAACATCTGCCAACCACGACAAGGCGGTAAACCGTAAACCGTTGGGAGTTTTTGCAAATGTCTCAGCACTATTGTGTAAAAGTAATAGGAAGTAAACAGAAAATGACTATTTTTCAATAACTCATTAGGTGATAAGGACTATCTATAACAGAATTTGAGAAAATAAGAGAATGAAAATGTGGTAGGAATGGAAGATTTCCTTCCCGATTTTCATCCTTATTAAGAGTCCTGTATAACAGCTCTTTAAGGGCAACAAACAAAAAAAGATTTGATTAAGGTTCTATCTTTTGCTCTAATTTGCTATCAATTCACTGCTTGTGGTTGACTGAAGTTCTTAGATAACTGAAATGGATAGAACCATGGAGCTGCGTGCTTATGAGCTGCATGCTGTTCAGCTGCACTATGGTTAGAATACGAAAATCTGCAAAGTATTGCTTTGCTTTGACATCACCTGTATAGTTCTCAAGAACTTTATTGTCACTCAGCATCTATCTTGGTATCGATAACTGAATGGATTCAGTTTTTCTATTAATTATATTGAGTGCACTCCTCACATCTTTCCAACATCAGACTATTTCTAATTGAATTGTCAGTATGGCTCAGCAAAGGCCTTATACAGCGTAGTACATAAAAGTGCCTTATTTTTCCTACGGCCATTCGTACAAAGCCGATCACATCAGCAACAATCTTTCGTGCTTCACCTGAGTCCACGAAAGCCGTGGTATTTATTCAAGCTAGCTAAACGTGCTCTGCAAAATCAAAATGTCTTCTTCAGTAAGACTAATTAAAATCATTTGCCCGGCATGCTTTTAAGCTTCATCCACTCTCCATCCTTTATCCAACGGTTGATTCGATCTCGTGTCCCGGACAAGCCAGGCCATCCATTCATCCATCCGGGATCGGCACATTAATTATACTGTAATAATACTGTAATATACAGTATTAATGTGGTGAGGGCGCGTCTGGCGCAGTGGTTGGAGGCGCGACTGCAACACACACGTGGAATCCATCCCCGCGCCCATGGCTCACCAAGCCCTTCATCCTTCCGGGGTCGGCAAATTGGTACCAAACTTGTCTAGGTGGATAGCAGTACTGGCTCGATACATCGGTAGGCCACCGCTAGTCATTGTAAAGGCCAGATATGCATTCAATCACCTCCAGCGATACTTAATGAAATCTAGTGCATGGTGCATCCCTCATGGATTGATCAACGCCGAGAGCTTTATCCTTCAAAGCTTTAGCGTATCTTTAATGGATTGATTAAAGCTAAGCAATTTTCTCATTATCATTATCTACGGAAGTGCCTCAGTGGCGTCATCATAATAGAATCTAGAGCAAGGGTTTAACTCCACGCAGTTCGTCATTTCCATTCGGAACTTCAGGTAGAAGTAGGCTGACGTGAGGGATTACCGTTGACCCAGAAAAAAGTAATAACAGTATGGAAAATTTTCCTCTGAACTGCAGTAACTGGGAATATGCCAGTCAAATTTGCTGGAGCCCGTACTGTTCTTCTAAAGACGAGCCGTTTAAATATATATATAAATATTAGTAACACTCTCGAACATCATCTGCTGATGTCACTCAACTTCTTATAGTCTATAGATTCATTAATCCTTACATAGCAGAGCTCTTAGATTCTTGACTTAGATCTCTTTAGACTTTAAACTGGATAGTTTACATAGTATGATTTCATCCATGTAAGTGCCGAGTTTTCAAAGAACATCGATTCCGACTTCTCGAGTT